GTTTCTTGATTATCGAAGTATAAGTCATCAATGTCGTATTTTCACCTCCTAAGAATGAGAAAATGCTCTCCAAACTTAAAGTGTGCCAAATTTAGTTTGGGATTTTTTGACGCCCAGATGCGTTCAAGGTGGAAGAGCATATGAGTCACAAAAGGAGAGTCGGACAAACATAATGACGCGCAGATTTGCATAATGAATGCTGATTGTAAAAATTTATAAGAAATGGGCTAACTACTGGACCCCTAGACCTCTTTTTCCACTGAATTTCATCATTAAAATTTGGAGACCGTGTCTAGGTTAGAAACTTATAATGAGACGGTGTTTCACTTTTCATAGTTTCTTTTTTCTGCTACCTTTGATCTGAAGGTCCTCACTCTGTTAGAATCACTTCATCTACTGCAGACTAGCTAAAGCTGCCCAGTCTTCACTCCTTGTACGTTAAAAATACATTACATACAAGGAATTGCACAGACGCTTCTTTGTAGCATAGTAAGGCCATAGGCAAAATGCACTGGTGTTTATCAAAAGTATGGAACAAATTTCGATTCAGACCTCTTCATTGGTCGGTGGTTTCATAGGGCAAGCTCATTTAACCAATCAACGTGTTAAAACGCTTGGCGTGAAAGCGACATCTCTCCCGTGCCTTATTAGAGGAGTTAAATGCGCTCATGATCTCTACACCTCATTCCTGACATCCTTCATGACTGTAGATGGGGTAAGTACTCTTCCATCCGTTCACTTCCTCCCCCTATTGGACAATGTGACCTATGCACGCCTCAACATCACTACAGTCTCACCAGACCTCAACGGCGAAGCAGTAGCGATGAGTAATCAGTTCAGTCTGTGGATAATCATTGTTATGAGCCTCACATGCCTCTTTACCATCGCCTTTATCCTCTGCGGACTTTTCAAGCGCGCCGACGCCTATCATATGCCACTGACGCCTGAAGGCGAGATTGACATTGCCAACATTGAGGGCCTTGGGCTGCAAGGAAATGAGGGCATGTTTGGCGTCTCTGGAACTGCCACAGGATGGATTTGATTGCACCAGTGATCTCCTCTCTTGTCCCACATTATTTGTTTTGTATCCCCGTTTGTGCCTACAACAATTTTATACATTACCGTGCAGAAATATTTTGGTCCCTCATTTAAAAACAAGTGGCACTTTAGCTATCGCACTACATTAATCAAAGCAGTGCTGTAGCTTCACAAGCCATTTAGCTGCAAGCTTTGACACGGTCCAGCTTTTTAAATGTATCCTTGATTTGTTTTGCTTGACGAATAAACTAAGGACTGAGAAAAACAGGAATCGGCAAAATCATGAATTTTATGAATAATCTCGGCAATTTATGATTATTATTATTATTAGTAACTGCAAAAAAGTTAAGAAACATTGTCGTCAGCTATGTTTGCCAACATAGCTGGAAGAGAGATTAAACTTTTCAAAGGAGACTGTGATATTTCTTGTCCATAGACTGATGGAGCGAAACTACACAGTAATGTCCACAAAATACTCATTAAACGGTAGTTTATGGAACATTAGTTCTATGAGAGTTTTGTCGGCATAACTTAACATTTTAAAGTTATTCTAGAAAGAAAAAGATGCAGCCTTTAAGGAAAATCCTAATCTGATATCCTTTGCCCTCCATCAAACTTGATGTGATTTGGAAGTGTGCCAAAGCCATAATTGATAATTCGCATAAAACCATTTCATGGAAATGGCGAATACTGCATTTTTTTTAAAAATTCGTCCCCTTATGAAACGAAAAGCAGAGTGGATGAGGAAGAGAGCTAGCAAATTCCGCTGATATTGGCAGGGGTTAGTTGGAGACACTTTTTTTGGTTAACTGTCACGCATGAATTAACAAATAGCTTTCCACACTGCTGAAAACCACAATGCCGAGTCGATTCATTCAGCCGCATTCTTTACGGTATCACGATGAACTCGAAACTTTGCAATCCAATATTTTATCCCAATTTTCGGAAATTTTTTTCAAACAATCACATTAAAAGCGACCCATTTTTATAAATAACCGTGTCATCTTGACATGAAAATGTATTTAAATAATACTGGCATTTGCTTTAATAATGTGACAAGCGCTTTTATGTTGCAGCATGGAACCCGATTCATCCAATTCTAGGAAACTCTTGGGTAAATAACAAAAATACACGCACATCTTCGCAAATCAAAGTGAATTTTATAACGCTAATGCATACTCTAATTGGTACTCTTTTGAATACGAAACTCTTCTGAGTGCAAAGATCAAGGTGATGGTGGTGACTTGATGGTTCGCCCAATAATAACAGTAATAAAATACTTCATCCGAGCTTTTTAGCCCTTATACATGTTCCCTCTCCAAACTTTCTCTTCTAGCCAAACTTCTGCTCAGGCAGCTAGCACTAAATAGAGTTGGTTTAAATTAGTACTTTCAGTGGACTTTTGTGGCTGCTAAGGTGTTTGTACTTTGCGAGATTTCTGGAAATCAGCAGGAAATCTACCTATCTCTAACTTCCCAAAGCCGGTAGCTTTCACCCACCCTATTATCGAGATCTGTTTTCGCAGTTTCATTAATAATTACATGTGCAAGAATTTGTAGAGCGGCAAAATCTCTTTGGGAGATGGTTAGTCTATGATTACAGGCTGGAAAGCAGTTGGCAATTGCCTTGTTTTTATCTTGCCAAGAAACGGTTTCAGTGCAGCGTGAAGCTACTGTTATGATCTTTCCAAAAATTAATCATTAACATCAAAGACTACTATTGTTGTGGGACAGTTAATTTGCTTTGAATAATGCTTTAGATGCGACTGGTGACCGAGGTAATGAAATAGCGAGAAATGGCACAAATTTAACGCAGACTCTACGAGACAAATTGAAACCTACTTACAGTCAAAGAAAACAAAAGCAATTATGCCTAATATTTTCTGAGACGCATTTCCTATTTTCCTTGACCAACATTTGACTTGGTTGATTTTGTGTTTTTGGATTACTTTTTTTGGCTCGAAAACAACCAAATGGGTTGAGATAGGTTGGACTTGAAGTCCTTGCTCGTTAGCTCAATGTACCGACTCTCAGATAAAAATTCATGGACTATTTCCAATTTTTCAAGCACATAAACAAGGCATTAATGAAAGCAGAGGGATGCATCTGTAGCCTCAAAGCCACAAACTTCAGACCCTTGGTTGCACGGTGCCATATGAGTTCGCCCTGTTCAAGGTGCGTTATTTCGCATATGCGAGGAGGGGTGGGAATAGAATTTGCTTTTGTTCTGAAGTCACACCGAACCCCCCGTTCCCCTCAAGGATGGTGTTCAAATGGATACCCCGTGTAATGCTTTGTTTATGTGACCACCTGATAAGGGTAGAAGCGCTTTAAGAGTCTTGTGGCCCTTGTACGCGTGGAGTGGCCATCGGGCCATGCTCAAGTCTAATACCTTTGTTCTCCTTGGAAGGCGTGTATCCAGCTCCACTTGCTGCCTTCTTCTACCCGAAGAAGTCTTGGAAGGGTACGCCTCGCCTCTCGCCAACAGGACACAATTTAAACAGCATGTATGTAGTAACATTAGAATTGCTATCAATTATAAATAATTAAAGTCAAGAGGTGAAGCAGAGCATACGCAAATAAAGACACATTAACTCCTTGAACGGAAATTATTTAAGCTGGAATAATCCATTAAGTAACTTGAAATATATGAGGGGATTTAATTAATTCCCACCCGCTTGAAATTCTAAAATTTTGCTAAAAGACACAAAAAATAGCTTACGAGCAAACAAATTTAATAAATAAACACCATGAGAGCGACAAGCTCCACTTTGCTGATTTTTAGTTTTAATGTAATTGCATTTAGAGACAGCAATCATCGCAACTTTTGGAATCTGATTAGTTTGAGGCACATTTATTTAGGTGCCTCGTAAAATAAAAGGCTTGAGAGATGTACACTAAGTTGTAATGCCATCTCACCATTAGAAGCTCAACTGTTGGTTCCCAATCCATGCTCAGTTTGTGTTTGAGTTCGAGCAAAACCCATTGTCATAAGTTCAACCCGAAATTATGCTTTACAATAAATTATCGACATAATACAGCCGTCTTGGAGACAGAACAAGATATAGTACTCAGGAGGAATATGAATTTTAGACGTATATTTGGGCTAGTAGCTACCGACATGGTATGAAGGACATACCATCAAGCAGAAGTACACTGGTGGCATTCGTTTTTAAAGGTAACAAAATTTAAATTAAAATTCCAACTAGTCGATATTTGGCTCGAAAATCTGTCAAAAACCATATCACTTTCATGAGAATAATGATCAGACGTAAAATTTTTAAATGGATATTTAAATGCATTCGGACTCGTCCATCATCAGCAGCATAATCTCAAAATTGTTAGCAAGAAATGCAATAACTGGCTTATGCGACCAAGTGATAACTGCCGTGAGCTGACCTATGGGCCAAGCAAAGGTACATCTCTTCTTCGTCGGCTAGAATAAATGCATCCAACGTAGCACCCTGAGACTCCCCATCGGGTGAAAGAAGGCATTAAGAGGAGTTGAATACATGTATTCCAGGGAGAGCAAAGGGTTTAAGCCTAAGCTTGGCCTGAAGGCCAGCCGGCACGTACAAGGACCAGACGAATACCAAAAGTATCCACTAGACA